GTGTGCGTGTGTGTGCGTGTGTGTGCGTGTGTGTGCGTGTGTGTGTGTGCGTGTGCGTGTGTGTGCGCGTGTGTGTGCGTGTGTGTGTGCGTGTGTGCGTGTGTGTGTGTGTGTGTGCGTGTGCGTGTGTGTGTGTGTGTGTGTGCGTGTGTGTGTGTGTGTGTGTGAGTTCTATATGTGTGCTTGTAGGTCATGTAACTAGAATGGAGATTCTGAGAGGGGAGGATGTGATTTTAAGTGAGGTGAGACACAGCATGGGTAATGGAACATAGGTAGAAGGAAAGGAGCGGGGGCTAATGTGGAGGAGAACCAGATGGAGGCAAGGAAGGGGAGGAGGGGGCACGGGGAAGGACAATGGGGGAAGGGAACAAATTAGAATAAAGTACATTAACACATATGCATTAAGATGTTATGATGACACCCATTCCTTTGTATGCTGACCTAATAAAGGAATTAAATGATAAGCCAATGTTTGGGGATAAAATATTAATTAATTAGCCATTAATATTAATGATAAAATAATTTTTACAGTTTTCAGTTTCACTAGTTTCACACATTCAAATATTTATGTTACTTTCTGTGATAAGCATTGTATGATGAACATCTTTGTACATAACCTTTTTCTATATTTAAAAATCTTTCTCTAGGGTAGAGCCTCAGAAATGGAATTATGAATATTTTTAAGTCACTTAAATTTTAGTCAACTATAAAAAGCATTGAAATTATGTCATTTGCAGGAAAATGGATGGAGCTGGAAATGACCACACTAAGGAAAACAAGCCATATGCAGAAAGACAAATACTGTATGTATTCTCTCATTTGTGAATCTAGATCTGACTCTAGATGCACACACACACATGTACAGCAAATACATGTACACACACATACACAGATGCACATGCACACACATGTATATATGACATAAAGGTAGAAGGGTGATTAAAAGGGGGAGTAGGAGGCTAAAGGGAGGGGAAAGGAGGAACCAAGGAGGGCATCAGGGCCAAATATGAGCAAAATGATATATGTGAATGAAATGCCAAGAATATGTCCTTTTGAGACAGGGTCTCCCTGTAGCCCCAGCTATCCTGGAACTCACTATGTAGACCAGGCTGGCCTTGAACTCACAAAGATCCACCTGTCTCTGCCTCCCAAGTGCTGGGATTAAAGGCATGTGCCACCCCCTTGGCATGATAGTATGTATTTTAATGATAGTATTTTAAATGCATTAATATCCTAAGGGACTGAAACAAAAAATTTCTTCACAAGTAACTGCACTTGCAAATGCCACCCTATATGAACAGCCTTATCCAATTTCCTCACCTAAGAGGCAGCAAGAAAGGCAAGAGTCTAAGATTTTTGCCTTTATTTTTACTTTTTTCTTCAGAATACATCTTAAAGCATATAGATCTTTCCAATGTCCCTTATTGTAGGCAGAGAACTGCTGGACTTTTCCCTTTGATCAAACGACCATCTGGCTTCTGTAGCTGCCCAGCTTGGGTCTTCATTCCTTACTATGCACAGAAGAGAGGTTCTGATCTGCATGCAGGAAAACACATGTCTTCCTTTTCAACTGTAGCATAAGCATGAGATGGCCCCCAAGCAAGAGGGGGCGTGGCTGCAGGCAACAGGTAGAGCCAAAGCCAACCTCATGAACAGCTGTGAAGTGCATGTACGCATTGCCAGCTGACCAGCACAGGGGCTGGCTTCCCACATGGCTAGCAGCTGGGCCTTTTTGCTTTCCTGTCAGTGGTGTCAATTGACATTTCCATATTTAGAGGTGACATGCTGCCACAAATTCATCTTTCATAATTTGCTACTGCCAGGTTTGGGTTTGATTTGATTTTTGCTACTTTTCCCTCTTCCTCACTTGCCCATAGGCAAAGGAGCAAAGCGCTAGATGTGGCAGCTTTCTTCCAAGGAATCACCTAGGGTGGCAAGATTGGGCCTTCTTTGGACTCAGGCAGAATAACAGTCTGATCCGCTCTATTTTCACACTGATCAAGAGATAGCTGCATCGCAGCTTAATTGCATTAAAATCCCCACAGGCTTCAAATCATTAAGTACCAAGAAAGGAATTAAAATTACTACCTTAAAAAACCTTTCTACTTACTTACGTTCCATTGAAAGGCCCTTAGACACAACTGCACTGGGTTCCCTGAAATTTTGGCATTAGGGATGTACAGCTCACCTACACAAATAGCAACTCCAATGTAGGCAACCGTGGTGACGAAAATGGCCAACATTGTCCCTCTGGGGATGGCGTCCTGGGGGTCCTTTGAAAAACACAGAGAGAAAACAGAACTGAGTGATAAACTGAGTGCTTGGAGTTATTTCTGTATTCAAAATTTGAAACTGTGTTTCCCAAGGCGTGTTCTAAAGAAACTGTCTAGCAAATCACAAATGCTGAATTTAAATTCTTTGGACAAGCTGTTTAGAGTGAATAAAGTAATCTATAAACCTTGGTACTGTACAGAAGAGATCACTTGCTGCCTAAAAAGAGATTTTATAGAAAAGAACAATAGACCTCGTCCTCCCCCTTTGTCTTTTGTGAATTCAGTGTAGATGTATCAGACCTTGAAATGTTAGAGGAAAGCATACACGCATATCTGGCATGTTGACAATATCTGTGCATGTCTATCTGTTTTATTCTGAGCTTAGGCTTGTCTTTAATAAAAAAATTATTTCTGACTAAGCAAAAAGGATTATCTACTAAATTCTCCAGTCTTTCCAAATTCTTCATTTGGGAGTCCAGGGATAATTATAGTGGGAGATAGTCAGTTTCCACAAGCAGGCTTAAGAAAGAGGCAAAGCCAAGCTTATACCAGAAAATGAGCTTTTCTCTTCCTTATAAATGCATATACACACATTAAGCTGAGTTCACATGATACTAATTTATCATTTTATCCTATTTCAGAGGGGGTGTTAAATTATATCAAATCAACTTCCAAGCAGCATATTGAATACATTTAATTCAACTTAACAGGAATTATTAAACAGTGATTTCAATCAGGGCAGTATTTCCAGTAGGAGTCAATAAATGCTGAATGGAGGGAGGTACAATTCCAGTAGGCATTAGTCTCCCAGTAGAGGACATGAGTCTCATCAATACAAATAAGCAGTCAATATAGTCAAACAAAGTTTGAGCTGTTTTTTCAACTTAAATATGTGATCAAGTCCATCAAAAAGGTCACTCTTCATCAATGTAGACTCAAGCTGACAGCTGCAAATCGTGACTTAACCAAGCAAATCTGCCTCATGTTGGTGTAACTAACACTATGCCTCAATTCTCCTAGGAGCATCTACATGTAGGGTCTGCACAGATATGTGCTTATCCAGTCTCTTCATCCCACGCAAGGCGTATGCGACAGAACAGTTCCTGGGAGGGGGAGGAAGGCAAGTGTGGCTGAAAGGGTCCCATTTAATCTCCCAATTCCTGTGATGTTTTATATTTTATTTTATTGCCTAAGAATTTCTTGGGGGGCTCGGAGGTAGCTGTCAGTGAAGTGCTTGGTGTACAAGCATGAGGACCTGAGTTAAACTCCTGGAACCCATGTGAAAAACCAGGTGTGCCGGCAATCCTAGAGGTAGAGACAAGTAGATCCCAGAAGCTTTCTGCCAGGTAGTCTAGGTGTGCCCCAGGTTCCAGTGAGTGACTATCTCAAAGAACAAGGCACCTGAAGAATGACACCTGAAGTTTACCTCTGGCCTCTGTACACATGCATATGCATGTGCATCCCCACATACATGAACATAACCCCCCCTCACAAAAATGTCTTGGCATCTGAGGGAAGTGGGAACTGACTCAACTGGCATTAACTGAACAGAAATGTCTATGAAGATAGAAGGTGTGAAGACAGAAGGTAGTCTTGTAACGTAGACATAAAGACTCAGGTTTTACAACTGTCTACTCCAAGCTTTAAAGTTGCTTAACACAAATTTTATGAAGGTCACTCTGACTCTAAGGTATTAACATATACCTTAACATGTATTAACATATACATGTAATGTATAAAATATGACATCAATATATTAATGTATGATTCTGTACTATAGGACCAGGGGGAAATGGGATTGTCTGGTCTTGCTGCCCATAGAGAAGGCTTGGGTCTCTGAACAATTCTTAGTTTTTACCCTACATAATCTCTCTTCTCCAGAGTTAACACAAAATCCAAGCTTCTTCTATCTTCTTTCTTTATCTCTTAGGACAGCATACAAGCAATGGATTAGGCTGCTGCTCTTGAGCTACAACAACCACATCCTAATAATGCATCCTAGAAATAGTTCCTAAATCTCCTAGGTCCAAACTTTCAGATCATCTATTAGTGTGCTATCATAGCACACAGGGTGCTTAGGATGGGAACTTTGCAGCATCCTCTTGGCCTGACCTGAGTCTGGTTAACTGTCTTCACAGTGTGATGGGCCATCTCCACAGTATGACTGGTTATCGCCACAATGTGAAGAAAGACTTGGCACTAGGAGCATGTGAGCATCTGGCTTTCCCTATATTATATGAAAGTATAAGTTTAACTGAATCTATTATGATCTGCCTTCACCCTCAGAAAGAAATAAAATCTATAGACACTGAAGGTTCCTTGCCATTTTCCAGAACATTGCCACCTTTGGAAAGTAATGTGCTTGGCCACTCTGGCTCTTGACTGTGCTGTCACTTCTCAGACAATTTCTACATTTTTCACTTTCATGGCTCTAAAGCCTGTTGGTTTTCCCAACTTCTTAGTCAGTCTCTCTGTCTCTGTCTCTCTGTCTCTGTCTGTCTGTCTGTCTGTCTCTCTCTCTCTCTCTCTCTCCACACACACACACGCACATACGCGCGCGCGCACACACACACACACACACCCCTCAATATAGATTCTGTTTCTACATTCGTACTTCGCATGTCTGTCTCCCTAAATGCACCTTGGACTTGTTTTCCTCCGTCTCACACTCACTAGGTGACTTTGCCAATGCAATGGTTTCCAGTCCTGTCCTTCCTTTCTAAAGCTCCAGGCTTGTTGCTCATGCTGTCACTAGACATCTGTATACTGATCCCCTTCTCTCATTTTATCCTCAATGGCTAAATCTGAGCTTCTTTTCCCATCTACTGTGCCATGAAACGGATTCATTAAGGTAAACCCAGTGTTAAAGGAACACAACTGAACAGAACTGATGTGAACATATCAGAAGGCATTCCTTGCACTTGGTGGGGAGGTAGAAGGCTTTCTTCCTGTGACTTATAACAAAAGATTTTCCATTTCTTCTAACTCTAACAAAAGCTGAGCCTTTTGTCTCTCTCCTCTACACGGCCTTAGTTCAGGCATTTAGTTAGATGAATAGACTACTAAGCACCTGATCTAAACTTGTTTTTAAGGAGTCTAAAGAGAGCATGGTGTTCTTCAATTTAAAAGTGTGCTTACAGTTATAGAAACTTAAATCAGTGAGCTTTGACACTTTTGCAGATACCAAGAAAACGAGTTCACAGCTAAATCACTAAGCCGCGATACAACCGTAAACATCTTGAACACGTGTCCTGACTTTGATGAGCTTTAGCATTGTCTTAATTTCTGCCATTAACACTGCTCGAGAATCTACCACCAGGGTGTGGGCAGTATTACAACAAATCTAAACACCTTCATTCATTCACTCAGTGCACATTTATCAAGGTCTGACTATCTCCGAAGACACAGCAGTGAACAAGCCCAAAGGCTAAGCCTCTACTTCCACCAGCTATGCTCTGCAGTGAGCAGGTCCAGGGCAGGCATCTCCACAGCTGCATCCTCTTGGGTAAGGCTGTGAGGCTGTCCAACCTCATTTGTTTTCTCTGCTTTTCTCACGTTTCTCCTGCCACGCCTCTTAGCTCTGTCCAGGATTGCTTTCCATTTCCTCACCAGCAGTCAACCTCTAGCCTTGCTTCAAAGGGTCTTCCTTGAGGAAATCATGCCTAATTGACTGAATAATATCTTGCTCACTCTTTTTAATGTCACAATCCCATTGGGCAATGAATATGTTTTCCATCTATACAACTCTGATGACTCTTGAAAACATTTATCTTTTGAAGTTGATTTGTTGAAGTAAACTTGAATCTTTTTAAAAAATTTTATTTATTATTTTTATTTTATGTGTATGCATGTATTGCCTGCCTGTAGGTAAGTGCACCCATGTGGTGCAATGCCCTCGGAGGTCAGAAGAGGCTGTCAGATGCCCTGGGATTGGAGTTATGGACAATTGTTAGCTGCCATGTAGGTACTAGAATTTGAACCTGGGTCTTCTGCAAGAACAACCAGTGTTCTTAACGGCTGAACCATCTCTCCAGCCCTGAATCTTCTTTTTTGTGTGTGAGGTAAAACCCATCTTTTATTTTTCTTAAAGTTTTAATTCTTTTAAAAATATTTTTATTGATTCTTTGAGAATTTTATACAATGTGTATTTTTCATCATATTCAGACTTCCTCCCCCATTTCTGTCCCACACCACTATCATTCCCCTGCCTTTGTATCTTCTCATTATTTTTCATTTATATATTTATTTATTCATAGTATATGTATGAGTGTTTTGCCTCCATGTATGCACATGTACCACATACATGCAGTGCCCTAAGACATGAGAAGAGAGTATCAGATTCCCTGGAACTGGAGTTACAGTACCTTGTGTGTATTGGGAACCAAACCCAGGTCCTTTGCAAGAGAAGCCAGTACTTTTAACTGCTGAGTCATCTCTCCAGCCCCTATTTTTCTTTTCTTTCTTTTTAAAAAAAGACCTATAAAATTTAATTTGTACTCCACAAATGCTCTTGGGCATGGGTCCATCCCTTGGAGTCTGGTCAACCTACTGGGCATCACATCCTTAAAGAAAACTGACTCCCCCTCTCCCAGCTGCTGTCAATTGCCAATAGATCCTCAGCTAGGGCTGGAGCTTCTTGCCCACATCCCCTATTCATGCTAGTTTTTGTCTGTCTTGGGATTGCTCAGGCTTGGTGCATGCTGTGGGTTCCTATGTGCAACTACCCTGTAGTATCTGGAAAACACATTTTCTTTGTATTAATCTACCACCTCTGACTGTTAGAATCTTTTCATCCCCTCTTCTGCAATGACCCCTGAGCCTTGAGAGGAGAATACTTATTGTCCCCCAATTCTCCTCCTTTTAATATTAGAACCCCTTCAAATTTTATCTGGATATGTGGCTGCCCTGCTTCAGAATACATTTCCCACAATCCTTTGCAAGTAGGTCAGAACATAAGTCAAAGTTCTGAGCAATGGGATGTCAGCAGAAGCAATTCATGCAGGTCCAGAAATTGGCTGATCTTTATCTTGAGCCCCCTTCACAGGGACTAGAGCATGAACTTGGAAGTGACCAATCATCTAGGACCTTGCAGAGAGGGTGAACTTGAGGAAACAAGAGAGGATCTCTGGGTTCTTGGGTTCCCTTTTGAAACAGGATTTTCTTATTCTGGAAATGATCTATCTGTGTAAACTTTCATGTGCTAGAAAAAACAAGCTTTGATTCTTGGTCCAGGCTAGTGGCTTTCTATTGAAGTCAGCATCCTAGCTAATACAATGATCCTCAAGACACTTGACATGGAATGCTGTGAAGGAGGGCTAAGAGGTAATGTGGCTAGGTTTTTTTTTTGTCATTGTTTTGTTTTTGTTTTTTCCTCAGATGTCCCATGATTTTGTTCATTATTCATTATGATTTTAAAAGAAGAGGTGTATATTTACAGACCAGTGTACCTCTCACCACTCATCCATTCCGCAATGGATGGAGACCATTACAAAGTCCCACAACTGGACAAACACAGGGAATAAGTGTCTGTGAGGTGCCCAGCCCTAAGTGACACATCTACAATGCAGCCTCTACACCTAAGGCTCATAGAAAAGGGGGCAGAAAAAATATAAGAGCCAGAGGGAGAAGACACCTGCTTCTAGTTAATGCATTCTAGACATGCTAGGGACGCTGCACCAATGAAATCTTCAGTACGGTAGCCTAGCAGATCTGCATAATGACGAAATCAGCTGACACACCAACTTGGATGGGGAAAATTTCACAGGGTCCTACCTCAAGATGGAGAACTACAGGCAATCAATCAATGGATGCTGAGGAGAATCAGTTTTCTCCAGGGACTAGCTCCCTGAGAGGTTATCTAATCCTAAGTGGCCAGCCCTAAACACAAGTACACAGGAGCACCACTAAATGGACTCAGTGCATATATATATAGTGTGCATAAAAAAGCTTTAGTCTAGCAATTTTTTATTTACTACTAGTGTGTGTAATGTGTATGTGTGTGTATATATATATATATATATATATTATGTGTGCGTGTATTTGTACAATAAGAAGAGGACAAGAAATTGAGAGGGAGTGGGAGGACATGGGGGGATTTGGAGGTGGATGGGGAGGGATGGAAATAATGCAAAGATAATACTCATGTATGACAGTCACAAAAATAAAAAATTAAATTAAAAAAAGGGTGTGGTTCTGATATCATCTCACTGAACTATATTCATTTTATTAGAAGAATAACTTGCTGTCAATATATTCTGTTCCGATGTCTCTGACCATGAGTTTTAGATGAACTATCTTGGTAGGTATTCAGATTTAGAATTTAAAGAGAGAACTTATAAATAACCATGCAGAACTCTTCAGTATGGTGTCTATAGGTACATGAGATCGTATTCAATCTCTGAAGGTTTTAGTCTACCATGAACCATGTTGCCACCTCCCAGGACTACAAGGCAGAGGGAACAACGTACCTCCAAGTCTCCCGAGATGTTGGCACCAGCAAGAATCCCAGTAGCAGCTGGGAAAAAAATGGCGAAGACTGAGAAGAAGCCTTCACCCTTTGTGAAGCTTGGCCCAAAGTTTTCCGCAAATATTGATGCTGAAATGTAAGTTATAGGAAAATGATAATTATGCCACAGAGTAGAAGCTTAAATTCACTGACTTCTGTAGTTCTACACAGAAGTGTTAGAAACTAATTGGAATGAATTTAAAGATGTTGGTGTATTCCTGGTGAATCCTGTGGTTACTGCTTCCCAAGAGCCAAAATGTGTATTCGTAAGATTTCAGGTCTCTAAGATAGAGCTCTGAAAAAAAATCATTAGAGACCAAGGCTGCCAGTCTTTTCTGAATATAGAAGAAATGGGAAAAGAAAATACAGAATTCTTTAATAATCGTGTTAGCACACTCATAAACACTTCCACCCAGACCCCTCACAGCTACATTCTCATGTGCATTAATCTTAAAACAATCAACTTTCTGCTTTTATAGGCCTTTAAAAACTGTAGAGAAGGTTGTGGGGTGTGCTATTCTAAAAATTTGCTACTAATTTTCTAATCTTTTTGCTCTTCCTTAAACCAAATTCTTAGGGATCAGAGAATAATGTGGTGAGGAGATTTTCCCACAAAATAATACCATCCTATAGAATGTTACTAAATTCCTCTAATGAAAAAGAAACAATCTAGAAGAAAAACAGAAAGGAAGAAACTAAACAAATGAGTCTGGGACAAGAAATGAAGGAAAGATGGGTTAAACCATCAGAAATACACAAGAGGGAGGGAAAGGGATAGAACAATATCTAAGGCAAATTATGTCTTCATCACGGAGGAAAAAGAACAATAAAGAAAGACGGGATTTAAAAACGGGGAGTGGGGACACAAATACTGACAAGTGGATAAATAATGAAGCTAAAAATATTTTCTAAAACCTCAGCAGTGTGTTGAGAAGAGAGTGAGCAGGACAGGCAGGACAGTCAGCTTCTGCACAGTGTGATGTCATCAGAGGATGATACACAGGAGCTCATCATCCCTTACACTTGAGAGTCTGAGTGAGGCTTCAGTAGGTTGTGCACTAGCAAGACTGGGTGCCAGGAGGACAAAGATGGCTTTAGTTGATGTTAGCATTTGCAATGGCTGAGTAAAATGTCCAAGCTCTAGGCTTGTTTTCCCCAGTATACTTTCTATTCCTATTTAACAGTGAGATGATAACAGCCCAATGTTCTGATTTTCGATGGACTTGCACATCTGCAATTGAAGAATGAATTTACTTTTCAAAATTACATTTAAATGTTAAATGTTTTACATATTTACTTCTAACAGTCTCTCGGGAGGTTATTATTATCACTTTAGTGCAGGAAATCTGAGACCCAAACAGGTTAGGTGACTTGTCCATGTGAGAAGCAGGAGTTGAGACCCAGCCCTGGATCTTCTGAGTCCTACTCTAGGCTCTTTCCTAGACCACACTGGAGTTCTGATAAGCGGGGTTGGAGACAGGAAGTAGTGATGGGGAGAGCAACACAGAAATATTTATTGAGGAGCAACTGATTTGTCACATGTACCTTGATAATTGAAGAAACCTCTGGATTTCTTCTCATTGTTGGATGGAATGACAGTTCCAATGAAGAAGTTTGCAATAGCGATGAGCAGGATGATCAGAAGAATCACTTGAGCCTGGATCCACCGTGAAAGGAGATTCAGTTAGATTTAACAGCTCTTTGTGCAATCATGTAAGTTATGTGTCCACTGGAGAAAGATTATCCAATTATTCTATTTAAGACTCAGCTACCCAGCCTCATTTACCAAGAATGTTGTATGGAATGGCATCTTTAAAAAAAATCATTTATGTATTTATGTACTTTTTTATTTATTATGCATGTGTGTGTGCCCGAGTGTATGCATGTGTACCATATGTATGTAGAAGCCTGAGGAGGTCAGAAGAGGGCACCAGATACCCTGAAACTAGAGTTATAGGCACTTGTGAGCCACCATGTGGTGTTGGGAGCTGAACTCAGGTCCTCTGCAAGAGCAGTTAGCTCTCTTGACTTCTAAGCTATCTCTGAACCCCTGAGATGGCATATTTTTAAATAAAATATTTTATTTATTATTTTTATTTCATGTGTATGAGTGTATTGCCTGCATGTGTGTAAGTGTACCCATGTTGTGCAGTACCCACAGAGGTCAGAAGAGGGCATTGGATTCCCTGGAACTGGAGTTACAGATGGTTGTTAACCATGTGGGTGCTGGGACTCAAACTCAGGTCCTCTGCAAGAGCAGCCAGTGCTCTTAACTACTGAGCTATCTCTCCAGATCCTGGAATGCCATCTTAACATGACTCATTCTCCTTGGATATGGCTGCCACAACTTCAATGAGATCATGCACTGAGGTAGTTGAAGGAAACATTTCAAGAACATCCTAAGTAGTAAGTAGGTAACTACTGTGATGGTCCCAGGAATATAAATGGAGCTACAAGTTTTAATATGTATGGACTGAGGTTCTTCTGCAGTGAGAGAACCTATGGCTTCTTCCCTTTCCTAACTGCAGAGGGCAAACCAGAACAAAGAATGCTTCATGAGACTCAGGTGATGCCCATAACCCTAGCATCATGCTGCTACTGTAAGCCATCTGCAAAGCTCACCAGTCCACTTTTCCTCCTTTGGTCCTTTCAACACTGAAAACTACTAGCTTGATGTTACCATCGTGTGCTTTCTGTGGTCTCACTTTACTCTGCTCTTCATCTAGGAATTTCTTTATTCTCAACCTTCAAGCTTCATTGTCTTCTCCCACAGGCGTTTCCTGACCACTTGACCTGAACAGTCAGTAGTAGCACCTACTGTCCCCTGGGGGTTACAGTATGGCAGATGCAGCCTTAACTTTACCAGTATTCATTCAGGTAATGTCACTGGAAGCCCTACGTATTAGATAATGCTATAATGGAAGCATAGTGATATAAAATAATTTCCTGATGGCCACAGGGCTAGAACACAGATTCAAATCTAGGCATTCTAACTACAGAGCTGGAGTTTGGCATATTGCCCTCTACTGCCCACCTCTGATCAGGGCTTGTGATTGCAGATGGCGGGTGTGGGGAGGTAGGGAGTACTTCTAGTGCCCCGTTGGTTGTGCATGAAGATGGTAGCAACCTCAGTGACTGTCACCATGATGACACTGAGCAGGACACAGTATGGCCTGATGACAAGATGCACAAGCTGTGAGTCATGACCAGACTTGGCTTGATGTCCTGCCCAGCTCATACTTATTCCTTTGATGGTAACAAGTAATAACAGTAATTCTTTGTGAATATGGGGTTCTTTCTATTGTTGCAATTTATTCAGGGCTTGACCAGCAGTTGTTCTGATGCTATTTCAAGGAGTTTACCTTTGCCTCCCATTCCATTCCAGCTACTGAGATTCCTAGAAGAATCACCACGGTGATGGACCCAATTATCCGGATGTCATTGGTTGGATCCACCATCATTGAATCACTCTCCTGTGGTGAGAATCATTCAAATGATTAGAGACAGCTTTTTTCATGAAAGTCTTATTAGAACATTTGACAAGAAAAAAAGATACTATACACAAATGCCTGGGGCCACATAGCATAATAGGGAAATTAAGTGCTCATGATTTTGAGAAAACAAATAACCTAGCATTACTTTTTTCCTCTGATCACCTTTGATAGCCAAGGTTGGGAGCTAGAAACTAGAGATTCATTCTAGCCATAGTGTTTGGAGCTGTTGCAGCACTAAGCAAAAGTATGTATGTCCACATCTATTGTGTTTTGTTTCAGAAAAAAAGGACTAGTTATGGGGAATCATAAAAGAATAAAAATGTGTGGTTTACAATGAGAATATTGGAAAATAAGTGCTGTTCAACTTAAGAACAGAGTGTACAAACTCAATAAAGCACCTCTTGATGATAACCTGCATTAAGAAGTATACAACATGCTCATTTATTCATTTCATTTTCACATAGAGGTGCTTTTACCACCTGAACTCAGCTAGTGTGCCCACTATCATGGAAGGAAGAGATGGAATTACTTTCCATACTGGCTCAATGATCTTGTTGGCAGAACATCATAGGTGAGGCACTTTGTTAAGTAATGCCTTGTTTCCTGCAGTGAATTGTGCTGGTGTTTGAACCCTCTTTACCTCTGGAAACCTTGTAAGTTAACAGCAGTGGGACTACAGATAGAATACCCACCGTCTGCCTGAAGCCTCCTATTTTGCACAGTATTCCATACACATTAATTTTTATCTGATTTTTTTGTGAAATTCACAGAACAGTATTATTAGTTCCTATTGTAGTTTTAGAAAACAAGTTTCAGATCTACCAGCTGATGGGGTGGGAGCTAAACTCAAAGCCGGATCGATCTTCTGATATTATGCCTGAGGCCCCTGACCATATATTGAACCTTTCCCCTTATCTTGCCCTAATACTCTCCCCCTAGGGCCTGTAAAAGAAATCTAAATTGAATTATCTTGTTTATCTGTACAAATAAAAGCTTTAATTACCTTAAGAAGATCTACGACAGTCTCAGCAAATCCCACCACATACATAGCAACAGCCACTGCATTGGCAAAAGCAAAGATCAAGCCTATTGACCCACCGAACTCAGGCCCTAAACTCCTGGAAATCAGATAATAGGCTCCACCTGGAACAAGAAAGACGAGGGCTTCACCTTGACGGAATGGGATCAAATGAGTTGAATGAGAAATTCCAAATATCAATCATTCCAATAAAAATTTGAATTTGTATTAATTTTGTAAATCCTGTGCCACCATTATGAAGTTATAGTTGGCGTTTCCTTTTACTCTATACACAGTCTACAGAATACTGGACAATAAAATTTAATTTCTTGAAATCTGAAAGTAAAAATCCTAATCTAAATATAAATTAACATAATAAACTTTACCCAAATGCTTTATCTTTAAAAAAAAAAGCATTAGGGTATTCAAATTAATAATGTAGCGGAAGTCAAATTTTATATCCCAGATTTCCGGAAGCTGACAGGCCAGGGTAGGAAGCAAAGTAGCAGAAGGTTCAATTTGCTGGACATGGTGCTCCGCACCCATGACCTCAGAACTTGGGAGGCAGAGGCAGGAGGATCAGGTTCGAGGTCCTTGGTTACCTAGTGAGGTTGAGGCCAGTCTTTTTTTCTGTTGCATCAACTTTTCTGGCATATACATGATCAAACAACATGTAAAGGTGTGTGTTGTCCACTTTATACATCAGTTATTTTTTTTTTTTTTTTTTTTTTTTTTTTTTTGCCTAACAAAGCTTCAATACTCATAACCTCATAAGAAAGAAAACGAATGGAGAAAAAAGTGAGGGTGTGGGTAGAAGCAGGCTTGGAGCCACTGTTTCTCCCTTGAACATTGAAAAATAGCTTTGTATATACAGCCGTGTAATTCTGTGATGTGAAAGCCTGAGCTGAGGGTTACAACACTAAAAGACTAGCTGAGACTTTGGTATCACAGATATTGTAATGACTTCTTATACTCAGCTAGTCTTGGAGGTAGGTAGAATCAGCACAGAAATGACATGTAACAAACACACTTAAAACAAAGCCACCTTTTACCTAGAAGGACCTGTGCTCACTAAGATTTTAAACTAAGTTTTTAAAATGAGTTGGGCTTGGGGACCTATACCTTTAATCCTAGCACTTGGAGGCAGAGGCAGGCAGATATCTGTGAGATCATCAGCCTGGTTTACATAGAGAGTTCCAGGCTAACTGGGACTACAGGGAGACCCTGGAGCCAAAAAAAAAAAAAAAAAAAAAAAAGTTTTCAAAATGTAATGAATTACCTGGTAGAGCACCATCCCTCCCGGCCCACGATTTCCGGCACCTCAATTATGTCCAGTGAAGTAATTGGCCAGCTACTCAGACAGACCAGTCAAATGTACAGACATTGAAAAGTGGAGAGAGGAAGTGTGTTGTGGGTAAGATGGTGCTTTAAAAGGCCCATAGGAAAAAGATGGGTGGGATGGCTCATGCCTGTAATCCTCAAACTCGGAAGGCCAAGGTAAGGGGTAGTCATGGGTTCAAGGCCAGCCTGAGCTGCATAGTGAGCTCTAGGCCAGCTTGGCCCTTCAGAGTAAGATCCTATCTCAAAAACAAAAACTACCAGAACCAAAATCATCACTGACAAATAGCCCTGGGAGGGGAGATCTGGGCAATGGAGCCAAGCCAAGAGGAAGGGGAAGCTGGGGGAGGGCAGTTAGGGCAATGATCAATGTTTTCATTTTCTGCCCAGGCTGCTTGCTCCTAGACCCTTGAAGCACTTCTTTGTTTCATTTATTTTTTAATTTTCTCTTTGGTGAGGTCCCATGACTCTTCCACAAAAAGCAGTGTTTGGGGTGAACCCAAAGGCTGGGCACAGAAATGTTCACTGCGTGAGGATCACCATTGTCAGGTGGGATGCTGGAGAAGACCGAGGCTGAAGGGACCAAGGAGAGAGCCAGTGGAGCTCACCCAGGGCACAGCAAATCCATGTATGGATATGCTTTCAAACATGGTTCATCACAGGAAATGGACCCTTTCTGAAGCTTTCAACGTTAAGCTAGAGTAATTTTACCCTGTTATTTAAATTTTGCATTATTTTGTTCTGTTTTAAGAGTTGGGGGCTAATTAGCAACATAAAAAATTCATATTCAGTTATTCAGTCAACACTAGGCAGGACAATGAAACCAAAGCATATAGTCACAAGTAAAGTGGTCGGCTTACCTCCTCGTACTACTCCATTTGTGCAAATAGCAGACATAGAAATACCTGTGAGTGTCGTCACCACTACGCTCAGGCCAATGATGATCACTCCAAGACCTGAAAAACCCCCCAACAAACGTGTTTGGCTCCAGTACTGAGAGAAGTCACCCATACTTCAGGAGGCAGTGGTCACAGAAGGTCAGTCTCCTCACAGAAACCTGAAATGTTCTGAAAGATCCCATTCCACGGCAGTCCAGGAGGCCCCTGAAATGAACTAAACTTTAAAACTGGAGCTGCATCTGAGTCATTTCCCAAGAAACAGCAAGGAGTGTGCCAGCTGGCCTGGAAAAGAAAAAGTTTTCTCAAGGAATCTGCACTGTGCCAGGAGTCCGTAAGCAGAGACCAGAGCTGACCAGCGTGGACTTCGATGACACTTACCATGCTCTCCGCATCCAGCTTTGCAAGACTTCCTTGTGCCCATCAAAAACCAAGTATATAGAAAACTTTTGCCTACCAGTAGCATGTGATGAGGGCATTAGAGATCTTAGAGATTTTACCTCCACGCACAAACCCGTTAGTTGCTATTGCAGAAGTTGACAACCCAGTAATAGAAGTTACCATGGTGGAAAGAAGAATTATGATAACTCCAAGACCTGTTAGCAATGAAAGACAGAAGACATTACATTTTACTCTCCTTCCCTGGACTCCCTATTGCTGCAACCTATGTTGCCTTTAATTTAAGTTTCCAGGTCCATGCCTTGGGACCCAATGGGTTTCTTTGTGTGAAGGAGAAACTGGTATGCCAGGCATAAAGATCAAGTCCAAGAACCACTCATTATGATGAAGGATAGCTTCCAAAAGTCAACACAGTTCAAATGCAGCCCTGGAAAGCAAACTCTGCCTTTTGCTTCTGTCCTGGGAGAGGAACTACCCTGGCTGTGAAAAGAGAAAACATGACATTTGACCTTCTCTCTTGTTTGAGAGGAACCTGAATGAGAAAGTTGAGGATTTGATAAAGGTTAAATCCTTCTTCATTTTTCTTGCATCCCTTTGCCTAGGGGGAAAAAAGGAACCAACTTGCATTACCTTTGAAAACACTCCAGAAAGGTCAATGGTGAGCTATTGGAGCCTGTGTTGCCTTTACCTTACAAATGATGTTGTGGGTCAGAAGTTTAATTACCTCCTCTGACATATCCATTTGTGGCAATAGCAGAGGTGGATAGACCAGTGATAGCAGTCACTGTCACGGCTAAGCCGATGATTATCACACCAAGACCTCAGTTGAGAGAGGAAAAATAAAGGCAATTAAATGATGGAATAATCCATTGGCTCGTTTACATCAAAGCAAGCAAGTCTATGGTAGTCACTGAAGGACCCCATTCGAGTTTAACAAGTGGGCCATGAAATCACCATTCAGGTACCAAGAAACTCAAGAGCCGGAAGGCACAGTGCTGTGCTGCCCCAAAAGAAACAATTCAGGATGGTCAAATGTAAGGCTAACCCCATTTTTGATGCTCTAAACACTTTCCAGTCGTGACTGAAGGTTGATTACACCAACTTTCTGGGAAAAATTCTTTATTAGCAAATTGTTCATTAGGTGAAGGTGGGTAAATCAGACAGAACCATTTTGACTATATTAATTTATTTGCTGTGTGACCTCAGAATTTACTTATTTCCTGCCCCAAATGGCAATTATGCTAGAAAGGATGCAGATGTGAATTCCTTTCATTCTGCACAAAGCACCATATACAGTCCGTGGAGCTTCTTCTTCAGCATACCCACAATTCTCATAAATGCTAGTGTTTATTAAAAGCCTTCTCTGTATCTAGCTGTGTGGTAGACAGTGTGGGAAACAAGGCACAAATAAAATGAAATGGAAAATCTGCCCTTGAGGATTCTATGGTTCAGTAGGGCAATGATTATGAGGAGAAAGTGGTAGAGGCCAAATGTAAAGGAAAGAGGAAAGTCATGCTTGCTTGTAGTTTCAAGAAATACACAGCCAGGAGGATGTTTAGGATGGCAGAATGTGCCATAATGTACCACACTGGAGTGAGGATTGTTGTGGTTTTTTTTTTTTTTTTTGAGCTACCCAAGTAGACATAGATTAGGCGCAAGAAAGACTCCCTGTCCCTTCCTACTTGCCTAAGTGGGACTAAGCATCTATAAACATGTTCTTGCTTCCATTATCTGGAAGGACAGAAGCTCATGCATAGAGGCAGGCTCAGACCCTTACCATCCTGCAGAAGGTGACACAGGAACCCAGCAAGCCTTCCAGATCGATCCTTATCTTCCAACAATTTCTCTATTTATTTTGCTTCCCACAATTTGCCACCCTAGAAACTCAAATTCCTTTTTCTTTGTCTAAAGGCTTCTCTGCAGCTTTATTATTCTTTTGTTAAGATGACATGCACGTATGCTAACTGCCCCTTTGAATCACCTATCACCTAGTCACCCCATGTATATTCACGGTACATATTAATAAACATGTCGTTCTCTTGTTAATCTGATTTTTGACAGATGAGTTTATGAGGCTACAGACAATAATCTAAGATGGATAGAAGGAAACTGCCACCTCCTTCCCTATGATACTCTTCTCCAAAGGAAGCTGATCCAGAATTCAGGAGAAGGTTGTGGAGACACAACCTTCTAGTTCAGTGGCTCCATCCAGAGCCCTCTCTCAACGCTATGCTCCTGGGTGTTCCCACACATAAAGGTTGTTTGCAGGTTCTCTTATGTTAGAAGCATGGCCTTGGCCATGATCTTTCTGGCCATGCCCCAAGAGAATGGGAAGCAGAGGGAGGGAAAGAGTAGAAGTGGGATAAGGTACACAGCTATCCCTTGGCTCTGGCAGAAGTCTTTAGGCTATTCAGTAGGTTAAAGTGAAGTAACAAGGAACTAACTGTGGGGTACAAGCTGAAAACTTGGGCCATGTTGCTTTGGTCACAGCACGTTTCCTCAGCAAGTTGGCTGACATGACCAACCTCCCTCCCTCCTTCCTTCCCTCCTTCCCTCCCTCCCTCTCTCCTTCCCTCCCTCCCTTCCTCCTTCCCTCCCTCCCTTCCTTTTCCCTCTCCTTCTCCACCCTCTCTTTTCCTTTTAGTGGAGGTTGAACCCAGGGGCTTGCTTATGCTAGGCAAGTACCCCACCTCAACCCCACCTTGTCCCCATATAGACTCCTAAAAGTTGGAGGCTGTAGGAAATAGTTGCACTGAACATTCTGTTTTGTGGGGACACTGTGATGAGCAGCATTTCTAGTTTGCTGGGAGATCTTAGGTCCTGGTGCCACAGAAGGTAATTTGTTATCAGCCTTGGTACATTATTTGCCCGCAACATTGATATTCGAGAGTGAATGTTTAGCACACCCAAGACACTGTACGACCTGCACGCTTTGTACTGTGTGATATCACCCCTACTCTAACTTCATGATTTCCTTACCATTATCTTAGGAACAATTCTCACTGCATCCTTTTGTGTTGCATATGTTTTTGTAAATTATTTGAAATCTTAGAGCACTGTTTTAAACTTTAAACCAGTGAGAAGCTTGTTTCTCTCTCATAATCAAACAGGATCCTAGGGTGACAGGCAGCTGAGAGAACGTGTCATTCACTGTTTTCTTAAAATGTCGTCCTTGAATCACCTGCTGCAGGAAATACCAAATATGTACATTCAAAACTTAAAAGTCACTACCAAGCTTTGCATTTTCTATGTCACTCCCAAGATAATTCTTACCCTATAGAGAGAAGACAAAGTTGGCCTCAGCCCATTTCAACTTCTGTCTTCCGGTTTAGCAAGTTTCTTTAGTATATTCTCAAAGAATTGATTGGGAGAGAATGAACTCAGTTCCCTAAGTTTTAAATGAGACTGAAACTCAGAGTCTCAGTGGCTTTGCTTCAGGTCAAACCTGCTTTTCACACCAGCTTTCCTGCTTAATGGTTAATTTGAAAATGATATGCAGAGAAACAACTGGACACTATTGCCAGGTTAGTCTACCATTGACTTTTATGAATAGGGCAGCCCAAACTCCGAGCCCCAGAATGGTTGTCCACAGACTGTAGCTACTGTTCTAGATCCCTCTGGCTTGTTCCCAGGGTCTGGCTTGAAAATGTGTCCAGGTTTCTTTTTTAAGCTATGTTTACAGCAAGAAGAAAGTACTTATGTTTGTTTCTTAAGCTAAATACAACCAACTGGACAGTTCACTGGCAGGTGTGTGTGTGTGTGTGTGTGGGTGTGTGTGTGATTGTGACAGAATCTGCTTCCAAAAGCAGTTTGTTTGCCTCATCAAGTGGTACTAATCAAGAATAGATGGATAGCCAGGTGTGGTGGCCAATGCCTTTAATCCCAGCACTTGGGAGGCAGAGGCAGGGGGATCTTTGTGAGTTTGAGGCCAGCCTTATCTAGATAGTGAGTTCTGGGTCAGCTGGGACTACAGAGAAACCCTATCTCAAAAAAAAAAAAAAAAAAAAAAACCCACAAAAAGAAAGAAAAGAAAAGATGGGTCAATAAGGAGACTCCTCTCCCAAAAATTCCAGAAGAAATGTCCAAACCAACAGATGTGCAAATCAACACAGAAACATAGGAGACATGCATGAAAAAGCAAGGCAGCATAACTCATCTGAAAGATCCTAACTCCTCAGCCATGAACTCAAAGAGACTGATGTCGGTAACATGTCAGGTGAAGGTTTCAAAAGTTTTCTGGCAAAAATGATCAGCAGGATATGAATTCAATGCAGACCCTAGAGAGGAGAGTTTGCAACATAGAGGAAAAAGTCAGAAAAATGGATGAGAAAATCAGCGACACAGAAAACCCAAATAGTACCAAATGGTGACTTCACATTTATCTTTGGTTCACAGCAATGCCCATATTGATGGCTGATAAGTGTCTGCTACTCACTGAACCATGCTCTGAGAAGTAAAAGAGAGTAAGAAAAAGCAAACCCCACATACTTCCAATCAAGGGAAAACTCACTGAACATCATTAGGTAGATTTCTATTGACTTCTAATGTGCAGTTCAACTGTGCAAGCAAAGAGACTTCTGCTTAAACACACTAATGTCTCCAAAGCACAGCAAATGGTTCAGCAGAGAGAGGAGTCTTCATGATTTACACCTTTGTAATAAACGTGAAGCTGGGTTGTCTGTGGAGTAAGATCTGATTACAGTTCAGATTATTGCCCAAACATATGGGTGTTAAATGTTACATTAGAAAGAATTGCTCTTGCCCTTGGCTATGCTCACACCTCCACACAAAGAAATGCTTCTTGATGATCTCAATAAGTTACTAAACTGCCCTTAAAAGCCTAATTTTGCATGAAGTCCGGGAGCAAGCCTTGGCACTACTGACTTGTGGATTTTCCAAGGAGCAGCGTATACTTGTTTTGGCCCCTGCGGCCCCACACACTCATTTGCTACAGACCATCAAACCAGCAAGCAGCCCTTTGGCAGGAACACAGCAGCTGCCAAACATGGAACATGGAAAAACGATGGGAATGGCTCCAGTGTTTCCTGTTACAGCTTAGCCCTTCCTGTCTCGGGGCATCTGTTGGTGGCTCTGAGGGTGTGTTGAGAAACGAAAGTGGTAGATAACCCCCAGGTGTCTTTTAAATGCAAATCGAGATGCCTTCCAAGTGGCATCTGAAGGCACAGCTGAGCTTCTATGCTCTCCATACCAAGATTTGTGAGTCTCCCCTCAAAACCGAATCCATAATGTAGTTCACATACATAGAACGTCGCTAATTTTTATCACATTAAATCAGCAACTTTGGTAAAATTCAAGCAAGTTTTTCAAATACATTTTATACTCAACAAAAATGCTTTTTGGCACAATAGAATATTTTAAATGGAATGTAATATTTAAAAACATTAACTCATTATTCCTAACATAATATCAATGTCTTACATTCAGAAAAAAATTGGTTATCTACATTTACAATGACTTGAATCATTTCAATGATCATTTTAGGTTCATGTGGGGAATATTTTATGATTAACAGCTTTCTTATTGCTGATATTGGAAAGTACAAAATTATTTCTTTTGGAAATATTCAGTATTTCAGTACTTTTTATTAATCAGGTTATTTTTGGTTTGGCCAGTTTCCACAAGTTTTTTTGTTTTGTGAAATGTTGCAAAGCTTAAAAGAAGGATATTTAGAGCAACTAAAATGCAGGTGTCAGTATAGCCCCAAATATGACTGCAGTCATCTAAAGTGAATGTGCTTTATACACCTATATACTTTAAACTCTATCAAAAATAAAGCAGGTATGGTGGCTCATGCCTTTAATCTGAACACTTGGGGGCAGAGGCAGGCAGATTTCTGCCAGTTCAAAGCCAGCCTGGTCTACACAGTGAGTTCTAGGCCAGCTGGGGCTACAGGGAGACCCTGTCTCAAAGAAAGAAAGAAAAAAGCAAAAACCCAAAACCAAACAAACATTTGCTTGACCATTCACTTTCTTGACAAACTGAACAAACTGGAAAATTCCAGTGTCATAGGAGTTAGTACCTCACCTCACTTCTCTGACATTGTAGTAAAAGGTGCTCAAGTGTAAATTATTTCTGTGACCTTCATCTTCTGCAGCACTGATGGCAAAACCAAGTTGCTTATTAAGTTCACAGTTCACATAAAAATAATTTAGAAGGGGAAAATTGCTCACCAATTCCAGCTTCTCCAACGATCCAGGAGAGGCGGATGAAGAGCATGACTCCCCAGATGTTGAGCATGCATCTTACCTGTGGATGAAGGGGATGAAAGCGAGTGAGCCTAGGGCAGAGCCCAGCCACCTCTGCAACTCTACTGTCCGGGTCTGGCTAACGCAGCCCCTCAGATCACTGAGTGGCTAGTTTTCATTTGGAAACATGAAGTTTTCTCACCAGCACACCTTTCACCCATCCAAACTTCACAACACCTGCTGTATCTTCTTCCTTGTTTTCAGCTCGTTCATCTCCTGGCAGCCCATCACCATTGGCAACCCTGTCAGCTGAACCAGGTGCCACTGCCACGTTCTACATTTTTACAGAGAGCAAAAAACATAGTCGTTGGTCAACAAACAGTTCCTTAAAACTTTCAGAGCCAAATAAAAAATGACATAAAACTCTAGACAAAACAAAAATACTTCAATAATTTCAGCAAATGATGTTTTGTTGTTGTTTGCCCTGGCAACTAACTCATGGGTTCCTTTTGTGACTCATTTTCAGCTATGGCTAAGGCTGTAGGGATGGCGAACAGAACCTGGCAGTTCTTCCACTAACAAGAACATTTCCTTCAGTGAAAATGGTCAGATTATGTTTCCAAATGTTAAAAGGAAAAAAAAGACAAAAGGGATTCAAGGAAGAAAAGCCAAGCAAGGGCAGAAGAGGGTCTTTTGTGCCACACACAGGGAGGACCACAGTGATATGTTCAGGCTGCAAAACATCTGGAATTCTTTATCTGTGCTTGGTTTTATTTTAGTTAAATGATTTCTCTCTCTCTCTCTCTCTCTCTCTCTCTCTCTCTCTCCCTCCCTCTTTCTCTCTCTCTCTGCTTTGCTCTCAATCTCTCTTCAAATTAATTTTTTAGGTTAGCATACAAACTTTCTTTTCATGTCCATATCTATGTTAAAATTCTTTCTTTCTCTTTTTTATTTTATGTGTATGAGTGTTTTGCCTGCAGGTTTGTAAGTGTACCCATGCTGTGCCATGCCCAGAGAGGTCAGAAGAGGGTGTTGGATGCCCTGGAACTGGAGTTACAGATGGTTGTTAGCTGCCATGTGAGTTCTGGGAACTGAACCTGGGTCCTCTGCAAGAACAACCAGTACTCTTAATGCTGAGCCATCTCTCCAACCCCTTAAAATTGTTTGTAATATAACTTTGCTTAAAACTAAATTGAGCAATGACAATAATGGTTCATCTGGGGGAGTCTTTAAGAGGATTCAGTGATAAAACACACATGCATTTTCTTTACACACACAAACAGGGCAGCTGAAGTTCAAAGGTGTTGTATGACTAGGGGAATGTGCTTCCTGTAGGGGGAGTTTTTTTATGAACTCACATCTTCTTACCTGGGAATCACAGAATGTGCTAACAGTATGCAGATGGTGAGGAGCCTCACATATGATGACCAGAAGGACTTGCTCAGTAGAAATAAAGGGTTATAAGTAAGTTATGAATGACAAAATTTACATATAGTTCTTTCCTTGTGGCCCAGTTTTCAAAAAGACCTTCCGTTTTAGTATGATGGCTTTTGAGTCCAGTGGGGGAGAAAATACCTGTTTCTTTCAAGTAAAGACCAACTCTCAATCTCTCACTTCTCTTTTGTATATACCTGAATAATTTCAGGTTCATATATTTTCTTTAGCCTTTCTGAACCTACTTGGCAATTTACTCAGTAAACAAAATCTCATTGTGTTCCCCCAAAGCAATCTTTCCTTTGATTCAGTCTTAATCACCACTATTATAGGATGACTATCTTATTTGTGGGGTAGACCTTGGGTCATTTCTTCTCATATCACTAGCTAAGAAGACAGGGACAAGCATATATTTTTCCTCTCTAACATGGAACTTGTGTGGAATAACAATGTTTATTGTAAAAGCTTCCCTGGAGGTGATTAAAACTCTTGCCCTTGCCACACTCAGGGCTGCAGCATCTTTGGGCTTTGAGGTACATATATACTCCTCCTAGCTGACTCCAATGTGGGCTAGTTAACTCAGTTGACTGATGTCTTGTCTCTTTTATTTCATCAAGTTCTCCTTTTCTGTGTATGTGAGGATTTATAGCTAGCTTCTGCCTTCTGTCAGACCCAGTTCCTGTTACTAGTAAGACACTGGATACCTAATATAATACAAACTGATGAGAGTCACTGCTCAACAGCGAGATCTGAGAAAGAGTGCCGAGAGATGTTTTTCTTTAATATCAATCAAGGGCTTGTCACAACATGTAAGCAAAGTTAACCCATACAGTTTACTTAAAGTCATCCCATGTCTACCACTTAGGAGCCGAGGTCTTAATTTCTTATCCATTCTCTGTTACCTCAATGCAGGCCACATTTTAAAATGGGGGTGGGGGGAGAGAATGAATCTCAAGCCAGGTGTTTGGTTTGGTTTGGGTACTCAGGACTGAGCCCACGGCCCTCTGCATGCTAGGCCAGGACTTGATCACTGAGCTACATTCTCAGCCTACAAGCCAGCTCATCTTTTTGTTTTGTGACTGTGCTGGGGAAAAAACTGAGCGACAGAGGATATTGAAAATAAAAGTTAAAATTTAGTTTTGACTTAACTGGGAAGTATCTTAAATTTTTTTTCTTGAGAATTTCCTACATGAGTACTGTACTTACATCATTTCCACTCCCCTCTCTCCCCCTCCAACTCCTCCCACATCCCTCACCCAGTAGCTTTGGAGAGCACTACACAAGCTGGTAAGGGAGAACATCAATCAATGACCCAACCGTAGCTTCAAGGCCTAAAAACCACATCAATGACCAGCACAGCAAACGACATTGGTGCAGTAGTGGCGCTTTTATCTTAGGGGTAATCAACAGCTACCTAATTGGACTTAAAGTTCACTCAATGGGAGGAAATTCATGTCTGGTACTGTAAGCCTAGGCAAATACACATAGTAGAAGAGGTCATAGATCTTAAAGAAAACCCAAGGCTCTCCTATCCCTAGACAAATATAATTTCTTACTATGTGAAAAATATGGATCCTTAAATTTACAGACAAGTATCCCAGTCATCAGCCATCAAAGACGCTTCATTTTCAACAGACAGAGATAATTACAGAGTTACATCACTGGTCACACACAGAGATTCTCTGTGAATTGCCCAAGCCTAAGTGACACATCTAGGATGCAACCTCTGCACCCAAGACTCACAGAACATAGAATAAGGGGTAAAGAGAACACTAATGCATGTTTCAATTCTCATCAATGAGGCCCCCTCATGCAACAGAGGGCTGGGAACACAAAAGGCCACAAATGGCCAAACACAGAGAATAAGAGTCTGTAGAGTGTGGGTTCTTAGACAGGACTCCTATATTGAAGTCTACCTACTCAGGTCTCAGGGACAGTTGCAGAAGATGGGGCAGAAAGATTGTAAGAGCCAGGGAGGCGGTCCATGACCATATAGAAATGGTCCTTCAGGCATCTGCGACCCTTCTCATACAAACCTACAGCAATGGTGTCAGCATGCACAAGACCCATGAAAACTTAGGCAGACAAAAAACCAGCACAGATCTGTGGAAATGAACAGCGAACTCCAATCTTAGTGGAAGAATTATTGGCAGCTGATTACTGCTGGAAAAGGAAGAGCTGATCTTGAAGAAAGAGACACCAGATAGGCTGACTAAACCCCTGCAGATGAACTTGCACTGAGGGACATTTGGGGACACTAACTTGACATAATAGGTATAAATACAAATGACAGAATGTATGAACTCTAGTGTGGGGGCTATGGGAAGGTGCCAAAGGGGAAGGGGGTATAAAGATGATTTTCTGTGTGAAATACACAAAACTCAGTAAAATTAAAAACGAATGACACAAGTAGTAATAAATAAAAAACAATAAATAATACTTAAAGTATAAATAAATTTAAAAATTCTTATAGAAAATCATATTTCCAATATAAGAATGTGTTAACAGTGGTGGTATCTTACATCACAGAGGAGATTTGAATCACAAGGTATTTTAGATTGTGTTTTACTTATATAAAATATTATTTACATATACAGTCAGTAAAAGTATCAGAAAGACTTTTTCATGCTAATTCTCTTAAATCCATTGTGCATTTTCCTCTGATTCCACATCTCAGCCTGGACAAGCCACATTTCAAGTGCTCATTAGCTACACGTCATTGATGACTACTGTGATGCACAGCACGGGCCTGTATAGCACTGTCAACTGCAAATGAAAGCGTGGGATACTGTTCTCACATCTAGTAAAAGGTCTGGTTTTTAAAAGTTAATTCTATACACACAAGACAGCGGGATGGTCACCTGCAATTTTTGCATTCATTTGTGTGTGTGTGTGTGTATGCTTCTTTACATGTGTATGTGTGTTAGTATATACATGGCTTTAGGTGAGTATTCTGTGTATGTATGTGTATGTGTGTGTTTGCACATATGTGTGTTTATGTGAATATTTGTGAGTCTTGTGCATGTGTTTGTGTGTATGTGTATGTATATATGTATGTGGTGTATGTTATGTGTATGTGTTGTGTGTATGTGTTTCTTAATCTGTATATGTGTATGCATGTGTATATGTATGTGTATGTACATGTGTGTACGTGCATGTATATGTGTATATGCATGTGTGGTATGTGTTTATGTGCATATATGTATATGTATGCATATGTTTGCATGTATTTGGTGTGTATGTGGTGTATGTTATGTGTATGTGGTATGTATACATGTTTCTTCATGTGTGTATGTGTATATATGTGTATGCATGTATATGTATATGCACGTGTTTATGTGTATATATGTATGTGTATATATTTCTATGTATGTATATATGCATATGGGGTATTAGAATATGTGTGTGTATTATGGTGTGTGTGTGTCTACCTCTGATCTTGCCACAGGGGAACTGGGATCGCAGACCTGCACTATCAAGCCTATGTATCCAGCAAGTGCTTACCCACAGAGCCATCTCCCAGTCACAACTTATACTTTTCATAACTGAAACTTACAATCAATGGAAGTAAGGAATGTGCTAAAATAAATGTTGAAGAGATTATTTGGTTAGAGGATTTTTCTTTCTTTTTTTTTTTTTTTTTACTTACTTGGTGAAAACCCTAAAAATGACAGATAGTCTGGTTAACCGTGGCTCACTTGGCCAGATGAAGGAGGTGAGTTCCTTTACCTGTGTTGTCTGGGAATCATGGGAGACACAGCCTTAGCCCTTGCCTTTTAAAAGGTGGTCTTAGGAATAAAACCTATTCTTTGTGGTAAAAGCTGAACCTAAGGGTTTGTCAGGAAATTGCTGTGCTCTCTGATGAACTTCGTGGGAGAAGGAGAACATCAGTGACTGTAA